CCTCAGACGCAACGTGCAGCAAAAATCGGGGTCCCTTTTATGGTCCTTGATTAATAATTGTGCCGTACTAATTTTTTGAGACCTAAAAGAAGGGGAGCCCTACTTTTGAACACTACCCAGATAGAATCCTTATAGTATCCTTATACAAATTGTAGAAACCCTTCTAGATCCCTTTAAGGAACCCTCTAGAAGAAGGGACCCTAATCTAGAGAACTACGTAATGTGGGGGCCTTAAGAATTAGAATGTTTTTTTTGGGTAGATCAAACTATATTTATACTAAAACAACTACTAATATAGTATAGTGGCATAGATCCGGCTATAGTTACACTAAAAACCCACCAAACTAGTATAGGTAAAAATTAGGCCCCTATACTACCCACATGGCTCACCTAAAGGTCCGGACAAACGCGCCTAGGAGCCGCAGAAACTCTTAGAAAAGCAAGCCATTCTAACATAGGGGCTTGAACAAATAGAATCGGGTTCCTTTAAAGGGTTACTGTAAGGGTGATTATAAGAGTTCTACAAGGGTATAATATAGATAGACGCCTTAATTAATAAATCGAATCGGGTTTTGGGGTATATTCTACTATAGTTTTAATAAGAAAACCCCCAAAACGCCCCTACCAGCGGGATTCCTGAAACCGGTTCAGGGTTTCCGGCTTAAGGTTTGCCTGTGGCCCAAAAAGACCTCGCTTTTTCAGGAACTACATATAGAAACCACAATAAGAAACCTCTAAAAAGGTAGGTCTTTTTGGGCACAGGTAGGGTTTATTGGTTTGGGTTTAGGGCTTTAGATGGTAGGGTTTGGGTCCATAGGTGGTCCGGGCTCTTTCAGAGTATTTTTGGGGTCCGGTGATGGTTGTTGCGGTTTGCTGTTATGCAAGCCCTATAATCCCGGAACCCATACCTCTCAGAATATAGGGGCCGAAGACAACCATGAGAATAGTATTCAGGCAGGGCTCCTCGTATGATAACGGTATAATATACCTCCAAGGACTTCTCTAATCGCTGAGGACCCTATCTCAGTATCTTACTTCCCCAGTGAGCCAGAAACCCTAAACTCCTCAACCCCAAACCCTCCTATCTGCCCTAGTATCTCAGCATTGGCGGTTACAGGACAAGTTTAGGGTGTAGGCGTTGGGGCTTAAGGTTTAGGGTGTAGGGTTTAGTTAGGGCTTATAAGGCTCCCTGTCTCAGTATTGGCTTCAGAATTTCGGTCCCTTTGGCGTTGGAGGCTTCGCGTGTTGGGGTTCACGCTCTTAGCATCCTCGGAGCCCTGCAATTAAAGGGATTAGGGCTTAAGGGTTTCGGGTTTGGGATTTCGGGTTTAGAGGTTGAGGGCTTCAGGGCTTTAGGGCTTCATCTTGCCCTCAAAGGACTCATACTTTAAGGCTATATTTAAGGCTTTTGGGCCGAAAGACCCTATTACATAAGGCTTTGGGCTATTTTGATGCCAAGGGTCAGGGTTTAAGGGTTTAGGGTTTGGGGTTATAGAGGCTTCGGGTTTAGGGTTTTAGGGTTTCATTGAAAAGCCATCGGTTAAGGGTGCGAGGGTTTAGGGCTTATTTGAAAAGCCATCGGTTTAGGGCTTCAGGGGTTTAGGGCTTTAGCTCTGTGTTAGATTGAGCAATCTGACAACATCTAAGTCCCATTGCCAGGGGCGCTCTGGCTGTGAAACTCAAGTCCCAAGTCCTAAATGCCCTGAGAAGTTGCTGAAGGCGCTCTACACCCATCGACGAACCCGATACGCATGTGGCTATCTATCTATCTATCTATCTATACATGCATGCATGCATGCATGCATGCATGCATACAAACATGCAAATACTCACCTAAAGTGGTTTCGTGCCAGTTGCGAGCAGCCTTTATGGTAAAGCCGTGTGTCTTATCCAAGCTCGAAGTCCTTTGCGAGCACCCTGTGTGGTAGACCCCTGAGTCTTCGTGTCCAAGCTCGAAGGCATACACCTGCCTAAGCCGTCCAACCTCATCTCTCACCCGTCATCTGCTATCCCTGAGCCCCTGAGCCCTAAACCCTAAACCCAAACCCCTAAACCCTAAACCCTAAACCCTAAACCCTACACCCTAAACCCTAAACCCTAAACCCTGAAACCAAACCTGTCCAAGAAGAGACTTACTTTTTGCGACCGCGTGCCTTCTCGGCCATCGAGCCCATCGCCTCCTCAGATGCGCGACCCGAAACCCTAAACCCCAAACCCTCAACCCTGAACCCTAGGGCAGGGTTTAGGGTTTAGGGTTTAGGGTTTAGGGTTTAGGGTTTAGGGCCCAAAACCCCGAAACTCTAAAGCCCTAAACCCTAAGCCGTAAAGCCTAAACCCGAAACCTAAACCCTAGATTGGGGGTGTCTTTACTTGATTTTGCTCTCTGACTGTCGCTGAGCTTTCTGTGACTTCACGATCTCGTTCTGCTGTTGGCTACCGATTCTCGTACTACGAAGGCCCACTTGATTTGAATAGGGTTCCTTTTGAAAGATGCCTATCAAGGGATACTATAAGGGTTCTATGATATAGGGGCCCGAGTAGTTAGAATAGGGTTTCGGGGAACATGATAGTATAATGATAGAAAGGAGCCCTCGGAATCACATTGGTAATTACTCCGGCCTCGAAAGTAACCTTAACTACGCGACACATCGCCAACCTCTACTGAGGCTCTCGTATTGGGAATCTCTATCACTCTACATCAAAGCCTAGCGGAAGTTGGTTTCGAAGTCCTAAACCCTAAACCCCGAAACTCTAAACCCTTAAGACCCTAAACCCTAAACCCCTAAACCCTAAACCCTTGAGGCCCTAAACCCTAAACCCTAAACCCAAAGCCCCTAAACCCTAAACCCTTAAAGCCCTAAACAACCCTAAACCCTAAACCCTTAAGACCCTTAAGACCCTAAACCCTCAACCCTAAACCCCTAAACCCCTAAACCCTAAACCCTAAACCCTCAACCCTAAACCCTAAACCCTAAACCCCTAAACCCCCAGACTGCTAAACCCTTAAGAGCCTGAAGCCCTAAACCATGCCTCAGACGCCCTCTGCAGCTAGCGACTTGTGGGTTTGTCATGTCGGGACCCAGAGACTCCAATATCCCTTAAGTCTTAAGTAAAGAATATGCCTGAAATTCTAGGTTTACGGTTTAGGGTTTAGAGTTAAGGGTTCAGGGTTTAGGGTTTAGGGTTTTGGGTTAAATGGTAGTAGGAACCCTAGGGAAATCTAAGGTATGTTCCTCAATTAAAAGGATATTGGAGTCTCTGGGGATGGCGCTGAGGTTTTTTTCGAGGCAACCTTGGGCCCTCAGCCGCTACTTCTGAATTGATCTGATGTCTTGAGGGGTTGTTTAGGGTTTAAGGTTTTTTAAATTAAGTGGGGCTTAGGGCTTAGGGTTTAGAGAACTGGGTTTCAGCTTATAAAGGCTTCAGAAACCCTAAACCGCGCATCAGAAACTGGCAGGAAGCTCAGTCCCAAGCGTAGCTCAAAAGCAAGTCTCTCGCCCTTTGGCAAAGCTTCCTGAACTCAAACTACGCGCCCTGAACCCACAAAAAAACCCTAAACCCTAAACCCTGAACCCTCAACCCCAAACCCCAAACCAACTCCGGCCCTCTAGGCTCTTATGCAAAGCGGTGCCAGGCAGCTAGGTTGTTTGCCTGGGTCTCCTCCAACGTGGCCTGGGCAGCCACAACCGTAAACCCGAAACCCTGACAAACACAACCCTAAACCCTAAACCCTGACAAATACAACCCTAAACCCTAAACCCTGACAAATACAACCCTAAACCCTAAACCCCAAGGAACACAACCCTAAACCCTAAACCCTAAGGAATAGTATAGGTAATTATTAAGGCTTCTTTAGAGGAAACTACAGGTGGAGAGTTTAGGGTATATAGGGCTTCTATAAGGCTTCTACAAAGTAGATAGACCTTCTATAAGGCTCCTATAACGGTAACTACCCACCTGAAAATGTCCTAGACTTCTGTCTTAGAGCTTTTTGGGCCCCATGCCAGAGGCTCGTTGCAAGGTCTTCCTAAGGCTCTAAGGATTCAGTTTTGGGCACCAAGGCGTTTTCTGTTTAGGGATTAGAGTTTAGGGCTGAGGGTTTAGGTTTAGGGCTTAGGCCTTTGGGTTTAGGGCTTAGGGTTCAGGGCTTAGGGTTCCCTAAACCCTAAACCCTAGGGCCTAGGGCTCCATACTGTATAACTTTTTGGGCTCTGTTGAGCCTTGGGGTCTGACTTGCCCAGAGATCCCAATACCCCCTTAAATAAGGAATAAAGCTTAAATCTTAATATGAAGCCCCTTATAATTTAAGCGATAGTCTTTAGTTAGGCTATATTGGGCTCTCTGGGTTTAACCGAATATAAACTGTAAACCTATAAACCCTAAACCTATAAACTCTAAACCTATATTCCTTAATTAAGCTGTATTGGGCTCTCTGACTTGTGTCTGTCCACAAGCTTGCGCACCAGACTAAATTTCAGGATGGGGCTTCCCAAAAACCCAAGGAAACGAGAGGCTAAGCATTCATTCAAGGTTCTAGGGGTATAGGGGATTTAAGGGTATTGGGGTTTAGGGTTTGGGATTTGGGGTTTAGGGTTTAGGGGTTTCCGGGTCTAGGGGTCTAGGGGTTTAGGGGTTTAGGGTATAGGGTTTAGGGGTTTCGGGTCTAGGGGCTCCGTGGTCAAAAGGCCCCCATGGAGGCTTGAATGCAGGATCCGAACATGTCCCTGTAGTCACAAATTGCCTGCCCTTCTTGGTGAAACTGTGAAAGTCGATGCTAGGCGTGTTAGGATAGCTACTCCTGCGAGCTATCAGTAACATCGTTTTTGGCTTTGTGGCAACTACCAAGCTTTAGGTGTGAAGTACCTTGGAACTTAGTCCTTAGCTAAACATGTTACCCTAAACCCTAAACCCGAAACCCCCTAAAGCCCCTGCCTCATAAACTGGCCCTAAACCACGAACACCGCAATCGACAAGAACCAAGCCTAGACCCTAAACCTTAAACCCTACACCTCTGAACCTTAAACCTTAAACCCCAAACCTCTAAACCCCAAACCTTGAACCCTAAACCTCTAAACCCTAAGCCCAAAGCTCCAAAGTCCAGCGAAAGTGGCCCGTAGGTCATCGTAGGTCTCAGGTGTTGCCGTCCGGACGCGCTGGATGGCCTTCGGTGCAGAGTGGGTTTAAACCCTAGGGCTTGGATTTAGGGTTTAGGGTTTATATACGGCTTTGGGGGTTTAGGGTATATTCAGGCTTTCTGGGGTTTAGGGTTTAGGGTTTAGGGTTTGGGGTTTTGGGGCCCATGGTATTACAGTGTCTTGACTGGAACGTCGGGGTAAAACAAGATCTCGTACTGCTGTTGTTCTTAGACTTGCTGTCGTTGCTACTGCTACTGGTGCGGTTGGTGCAATGACGTGTTCTGGCGACAAGATTGAGAGGATAGTGGTACATACATGTCTGTAATCAAGCTTTGTTCATAGCTGCTCTGAACAATGCATATGCGTAAAACCAAACCACGTTGTTTCTGAACATTTCATAGGCACCAAACTACTCGCTGTTGTCTTGTGTCGCCGAGCTAGCGGCAAGGTACCATGCAAGGGAGCGAGATCAACCCTAAACCCTAAACCCTAAACTTAAACCCTAAACCCTAAACCCGAACCCCTAAAGCATGGTGTACAGTGTAGCGAAGAGCACAAACTGCTGGGCGCCCAGTTGCGCTCCAGGCCCTCGTCATGTTACCTGAAGCCCAGCGAATTCCTAAGGCCCCAAACCGCTCAAGGTTTAGGGTTTAGGGTTTGTTTGGGGTTTAGGGTAAATAAATTCCTCAAGGAAACCCTCATTTATACAGCATCCATATAGAACACCCAAAATATGGAACCGAACCCTTCAAAGAGAACAAAAGCCAACATCCTTATACTGTAGACTCCTTCTGGAAAGATAAAACCCTGATACCGAAAAATAACACCCTGATGCCGACGAATTCTTGCAAGAACCCTTATACCCCACCCTTAAGAGAGCAGAGCACTGAAATTTGTAGATCCCTGCTATCCTTAAAGGAGTCCTGAAAGGGAACCCCTTAAGAAACCCTTGACGGAGCTTCCGAACTACGTCACCTTGCGCACTGCTAGCGTGGCTGCCTGCTCCTGCGACATTTGGGCGGCTTAGGGGTTTAGGGTTTAGGGGTTTGGGGTTTAGGTTTTAGGGGTTTGCTTCTTCCAAACGTCTAAGAGGCGATGTAAGGATTTTTTTTAGATTTGTGAGCCGGTTTTTCCTCAGAGTTATCAAAGGCTTTACATATGATGTTGTTGTTCAGGGCTGCATAGGTGTTGTACCGGCTTCATAACAGCCTATTGGCTGCATACTATCAGGGCCCGTAAAAGAGTTCTATATAGTATAAAGGTTGTACGCTATCGGTTCTATATGGCTTTCTGGTCCGTTTCCTGTAATTTGAAACCCTAAACCCCAAACCCGAAACCCTAAACCCTGAACCTTAAACCCTAAACCCTGAACCCTAAACCCTAAAGGGTCCTACAGCCAACAGCA